TGCTGAAGAAATCTATGATCCACCTGCAATAGCTATGACTAGACGCATTGGTAGTCTGCTGGATCCGGATCTAGTCTCTACTAAGTTAATTCTTGCCATTCTAATTTCCCACATTTGATTATACACGTTATACTAATAAGGCTTCAATCAATCTCAGAGATGTGACAACGTTTTATATATTCAAGTTAGGTTTGTAGAATTGGCTTGGCAATATTTACTCTCTAAATACGATCATGAACGAAGTGTTTTGTGTTTTTCAAATCTGATTCAATATCTCTTTTTACTAAATTAATGAATGACTGATTTGATTTCTTGTTCAAAGTTGATGTTTGTTGGATTCAGATTACAAATTTGATTATATTGAAAAAAGAGAAGAATGATTATATCATCCAGTTTAAATATTCTTTTCGAGTTGTTTACTTAATTGTACAGTTCGAGAAATGATTTTACTGTCAAGACTGTTTAGAAAGTGATCAATCAAAAGATATCATATGTAGTTCTCTTTGCACGATTGATTCAATATACAACAACAACTACGCAATTGGCTTGAAAAGAATCAAATAATTATAATATGATGTATTCCAGGAATTGAAGAAGATGAAAATTCTGTAGCTCGATATTCTTAAGCAGTTATAAGTGGATGGCTCGATTTGAATGATATCCATGATTTATGTGCACTCCTTCTATCTTTACATAAATTTAGTGAGACACGCTCTCATTGTGATACTTAGAGAATGTTTATTTACATATGAAGAAAAATAGAACAATTCGTGTACAGTGTACGACGCATTCAAAAAGTTTCGATCTGTTGTCGAACCCTTGCAATTAAGAAAGAAACTTAGATAGAAAACTGACATGTGACGAAAAAGGCATGTATTCTCAGTTAAAGTTAATTATTTTGGACAAGTATCGTATTGTAGGTCAAGTTATAAGATATAAAACTTTAAGAAACATCAAATCAATCTATACATAGTTCATGGAAATCAATTGAATTCTTGGAAAACAAACGACAGATTTTTATAGCACTAGACGTATGTTCACACAATACGTTCAAACATTTATTGTCAGCAAGCTTTTATAAATCAAAGTATTCTCATAAACTTATCACATGACGAAACATATAATGTGGATAAGAAATCGTCATCTCAGTGCTTGTATATTAGAAGAAATGAAAAGCATTCAGGGCGGCTAATACAGCAGATAAGTATATTAGAAGAATAATTTTTTTTGTTTCTTTCTCTCAGTCAATTAAAACCAGTTTTAGTTTATTTCTTTATATTCAACGTATTTTTTTCTGATTCAACTGTTTTTAAAGAAAAATCGATAAATATCACTAAATTGTCAAAAATAAGATGTGCTTTTTCACGCGAATACTCAGATTAGAAAACAAAATGATTGCTTTTGAAAATTTACATCAAAATAAAAAAAACATTATAATACGCCTATTAGTAGAATCAGGTCTAAAATCGAAAAAGTTTGGTCTCTTCTTTTTTTATAGACCTAAATGGAGACATCTGAGATAGTCATAATCTTTAAAATCTTTGAATTTCTGTCACGTATATTTCCACTAAGTTGGTATATTTAATAAATGAAGTTATCTCAATCTAGCTCTATCAATTTTATGATTTGTATCTTTTTCAAATGCAGTCATAAAGCTTTTCCCTCTTTATCTATATGAGTAATCATGCGCCATGAATTTTCTTTCCGTTGTTCATTCTTTATACAGTTTGCGATGAAGGATTTTCTCTATGTTATGATCCTATATATATTCGTTAGATTGTTGCGAAGATGATCAATTGAATATAGATATAGTGATAGAAATAAAGTACAAGTGGGATTAAGATCTCACAATTATGTTTATGCATAATTTTTGTCGAATATCTTATATAAATAAATCACTATTCATTTTTTTTATTTAATTTAGTTCAAACGATATTATGAAATGATGATCGGATATTTTATTAGAAATTCCATATAATCATATTAATGATAATCGAAAAAAAAATGATTTTCTCTTTACAATATTTCAACTAATTTCGTTGAAAAACAAAATTGCACTAAAAGAAAAAAAAAACTTAAATGATTAGACCGGTTCATTTTGACTAAGAATTAGTGTTTCTTTCGTCTTTTCAATGGCTTCATCTCTAAACTCATGATGAATATCAATGCTTATATAAACACTTGTTGCTTGTCTAATACTATCGAGCATCGATTTGATAAGTCCAGCAAAATGAATTACTGTTTCAGAATAATTATATCGATGCATAATATATTTCCATAATAATTCTACATAAACATTTTGACTTCCAAATAAACGAAATGTACCATATATAAGATTATCATCATTCAAATTTTCATATATATCCATAATAAAACAATTCGAAGAGAAAGTGATCACGAGAAGCATACTTTTGAAAAGTATTGAATCAACATCTAGGTTTTTCATTAGCTGTTTCGCCTGATTGATCCTTTCTAATCCGTTGATTGTTACGTAAATACTACAGCATTTGGAATTACCCAAGAATTCTGTATCATGATGGATGATATTAAAATAAAAAGAAAGAACTAATACCACACAGATTGCATTCCAAAAGAAATTGTTGTTCATTTGTAGTAAGTACTTCAAAATCAGGCATAGCATTAATAAATAATCGAACAGATGTGCAGACAGAGTCAATAGTATCTGAGAGATCGACAGCGTCAAAACGAATTTCACCAGGTGATAATATCTTTTTAATTAATAAAACATCTGTCAAGCGTTTTATTTAACATATCTATCTAAATATATATCGCCGCTAAAATAACCTCTTGTGGATTAGACAACAGATTATTATTAGAATCAGTGCAGTCATAAACTTGTCCTTCTATAATCTCGTAGCAATTTTTATAATGAAAGCTTGTTTTAAAGTTCAAATTCAAAACAGTGGTACCTATTCTTTTTTATTTGCTTCATGGTTATATTAGTCAAATTTTTCCTTTTTTGCAGACTGTCGACTGTGAATACGTTATCGTCTTTCTATTACTTTGATGTAATTTTCTGTGTTTTTTTTTACTATCATAGTACAAACTCATTGAAGTCTCAAAGATGTGAGTGTCGGTGTGGATATGACTGAAAGAAGAAAAACACTCACACCACTATCATTAATCCAAACAATCAATGAATTTTTCTGATAAAGTACTTGATGATTTTGATTAAAACTTAAACAACGCTTTCTAAACCACTTCATACAGAATTGGAAGTATATCGTCTTCTATAACAGGTAACGATTACAACGGCCAGTGTTAGATGAGCATTTTCATCTAATTAATCAGATTTATTTTGATTAATAAAAATTTTTTGGGAATTTATTTCCAACCAACTAGATTTCATCTATCATGTTCACTTCATCAAGCAAAATTTGTAGGGATTTTCAATCATTCAACTAGATTTCTTTCATATGTTTTTTTTTTCAACAAATTAGGTTTCTTATTTTCTAGCTTTGATAGAGTTTACACCAAACTCACGGAAAAAATATGGTGAGCGGGATGAATTTCTAAGGAAAGCGCACAGAGAAAACAAATTTTATAGCGTTAATCATAAACTGTCATAGGATGCCAATGCATCCAATGACAGATGAAAGAGGTAGACATAGATGAAATGATTCGGCTTTTTACTTCGTTATCTAAATTCATCAAACATTTTTTTGTCAGGTAGAGACGTAATGAGATCATGATTCTTCATTTAATAAATATTAATTTCCAACGAGATATGATCTTTTAATCGTTCTATATAACTAGAACTCACTACTTTTCAATTAAAATAAGAAAGTTAGATATGACTTATCAAACAACGTGACGTAGTCAAACATTATTCTTATAATTTTTATTAGAAAAGTTGTCAATAAGATTGACTTTTCAAGACGGCTGTGACACTCTAAAAGATAATATCAACAATTTATAAAATATTGTTCAATTTACATGAGTCTCTTCAGCTTTCTCATTTCGTTAAACACAAATTAATAAACAACGTCAAATAGCGAGTGTTAAAGTTGATTAGTTGTTAATTTGTCAATATCGAATACTATACAAATTAATTTTTCAAAGTATTTGTTGAAGAATGATGCTTATTATCTATTAGACTACAAAATACATTCTGTCAAAACGAGTAATGATACATAGATGATATTATTTGAAAAGATATCATTATCATTGTCATGAAAAAACTAATCTATCTTAGCTTATTAAAAGACATGTGACCTCCTTTCATTACTCTAGAATAAATGAACTAGAGATTAAAAAGTATTTTGTTTTTGGATGAATCTCAAAATAATTTTAGCCTTATCATGTAGATATTAAGAAAAAAAAGAAAATTCTTTTTACAATGTATACGTAAACATATTAAGGTAAGATGAGCAATGTTACATATAGGTAACTAGAAGATTATTTTCTATAAACATCTTCAAAAAAAAAATAGGCAAATATCATCTTGTCTATTTCGTCGTTTTTTTTTCTAGTTCTCAGTTCTTTTATTTCTTCTTTTAATTCAGGAATCTGTTCTCTTTGAGAAAAAGCTTTCTTTTTGTTTCTTTTTGTTTCTTTTTGAAAAATAAGCAATACAAGAATTTCTTTCATTTAATTTATTATTTCTAATAAAAATTATTAATAAAAACTTTATATTTGTCAGGATAAGATACAAAGAAAAATATAGAATTCATTGTCGGACATAATTTGACGTATTAAAAAAAGAAGTCTCTACAACATTCTATCACAATGATATATCAAAAACAAAATAAATGCAGAACTTTTATCCCACTCATGTAATAATAACGAACGCATTTGGAATTTTTTTTACTACTTTGAAGCATGTTTAATGGCGTTTTGTTCTCGATAAATCAAAATGGTTAACCATCTGACTAGCCAATATTACATTTTAATCTTGTAGGAATTGCGTTCACAGCTTCTTTTTATAATTTAAAACAGAAGTCAAATCTTATGACCTTAAAGTTTCGCTAAAACTGAATCCAATGAAATATCTATGTTGCTTCAAGTTGAAAAGTCACTTCTCATCATTTTCAGTTACCTAAGATACGACTAATTATAATCTGCAAATAGATTGACATTATTTATTCATGTATTATTCGGTCGGTCTTATTTTTCTTAATCCAACATCGTCAGTTCGAGTTAAGCCGTATTTTTATGCTGAAAGTTGTGACACTGTTGAACGTCACTCTTCTTCTGATTTAGATCCTATTACAATGCATTCTTTTTATTAGATTCATTCCAAATATCTTCGAGTAAACACTTTTTTTTCTTTTTTGATTTTCCTTACACATAGTGTATTTAATCCGCGCATTCCTATTCCCTTATTCTCCTAATGTAGGTTAATAAAAAAGTACTCCGTGTACGCCTGCAATTGAAATATTTCGTATTACGCATAGAAATGGTGTTGAAGCTAAGAAGAAAAAACTACTTGAATATATCAAAAACCGATTATATTGAAAAGACATTATAAAACAATCTTTTAGATATATAGAAAACAAATTTTTCTCATAAAATATCATTAGATCTGTCAGTGACAACATATAGAATCAAGATGTCAACATCGACTACGTCAATATTCACATTTGTTGCACAACAAGTGAGCATTTATTTTGGCATACCTATGCTCATTGCTGGTGTAATTGGTGGAATTCTCAATATTATTGTATTTCTTAGTCTTCAAACATTTCGACAAAGTTCATGTGCATTTTATTTAACTATCATGTCAATTTTTAATACTGGTCTTTTAGTTGCTGGTCTTTTCTCTCGTATAATGATTAGTGGATTTACTATTGATTGGGGACAGAGTTCACTCTTCTATTGTAAATTCAGATTATTCTTTCTTAATACATTTACACTCATGTCATTAATATGCATTTGTTTGGCAACAATTGATCAATATTTTGCAACATGTTCTTATCCTCGTTGGCAACAATGGTCCAATTTCAAACTTGCCTATCGTTTAATCATAGCATTTGTTCTCATTGCAATACTACATAATATTCAATATTATCTATTTTATAATCATATTCAATTACCTATCACCGGCAAAATATCTTGTATAATTACAAATGATATCTTTGCAAAATATGTTAGTTATTGGTTTAATCTCGTTTTCATAGGCTTTCTACCAATCATTATTACAGTGTTTTTTGGTTCATTGGCATATTATAATGTTCGACAATTAACTTATCGAACATTGCCACTTGTTCGTCGTGAATTAGATAAACAATTGACAGTAATGGTTCTTGTGCAAGTTGCCACGAATTTCTTTACTCTTACACCATTTAACATTTTGAGTGCTCTTTCATTGAACAAAAGTATCATGAGTGATCAAATTGTTGCAGTAAAAATACAATCGTTGCTTATTATTGGTATCGTTGTTTACTATCTGACTTTTGCAGTAAGTATAAATTGATCAGATTATTTTTTTAACGTTTTATTTCTTTTCATTATTTGTTTAAACATTTATAGAATCCATTCTACATATATATCTGTGTATCGGAACGATTTCGTCGGCAATTGATCTATGTCCTATTTGAGATTCATTTGAATCGATGGCGACGACCAAGAATAGTTATTAATCAAGTAGCACCGGAATTGTAAAGAATAATGATGAACAATAATATGGAACATTGTTTAATTGATAAATACATTCAAATTCTTAAATAATTTCTTTGCATTTTATGTCAAATTAAATAAATTTAGCACCATAAAATACAGAAAGTCTATTAGAATGCAATGTTATTTTAAGATACTAGTGAATAAAGTGTTAATGGTTGTAGGTCAACAAATGCCAATATGACAAAAACTAATTTTTTTCAAATTTGCCGAACTTAATATTGTAAAAGTATTCATTTTTGTATGTACATATAATACGCTCATCATATGCACAGATTTATCATCCAGGGAAACATTCTTCTTTAGAAATCGAGTCTCTGATAAAGTATCTTACTTCAACTGCTTCTGCTCTTTAGGAATGTCAAAAAAAGCTGTATTTTTCTATACTAGAATTCAGTTTATGATCTCAGCATGTGATACTAATGGAAAGTCATCGAAAATGAGGTTTCTATTGAAAGAGTTGAGATACTTCATTTAACTCATAAACAATATTCTTAACGGATGGATTCTTGATTGATAGTGAGATCAGTGAATCATTAATCAATCACATTTTCCAATAGAAAGTGTAATTTAATATACTATGAGTGAAAACATAGAGATACATGGGATTTGGAAGAGGACAACAATTAGATATTATTTGGTTCAATATGTCGAAAGATATTATAAATAATTGAATCGATCCAGAGTGAAACTTCGAGAAAGAAACAGTTCAACTAGATTTCGTGTTTC